TTCAAGTAACATCAGTAAAAACACAACAATATTGTACAAAACATTCAAGTGGTGAAGTCCTCCTTAACAAGTCTTCATTTGTTTTAGAACGGGAGCATTTTCTTGAAAAGGATTCCTAGAACTTCTTGAAGTTCTTGTTACATGCTACTTGTGCCAACTTCATCACAAAATTTCTTTTGAATTGATGCCTTTCAAATTTGAATTTTTTTTTTTCTAACAGTTCTCGTGTAGTCCGCTTCTTTATTGTTAATTTGTAGCTTATTTTGGGAGGGCATTCCGTAGTTTTGACCCAAACATGGAGAGTTGAAAGCCTATAATTGAGTTCAGTTTTAGTAATTGGGAGATTTTTTGCAGTATTTAAGTCATTAATTTTTATTGGATTGCAACCACAAACTGAGCAGCATTGTGATGACTTTGTTGCCGTGGATAGTGCTGTGGCATTTTTCTCATCTACCATAGTAATTTCAATTTTGTGAAGAACTGTAAACTTTTTACAATTTGTAGTAAATAATTTTTCAATTGAGTTGCGAAGGAATTATTTTTCTTCTTTTAATACATCTGTTTCTTTTTTTATAGGAGAATTTTATTGGTCTGTAAAATAAAGTGAATGATGGATGAGGGTTGGACCAAATCTTCTTTTCACCGTTAAAATCAAAGGCACAAAGCAAGTGAGAAATAAGCTGGCTTTATCTGTAATATTTCTGTTTCCTTTTTCTATTGTTGCTTGAGTATATAGGATTTGGCCAGTTGATCCATCAAAGCCAACTTTAGACCTTAGTGTCATTGTTTGAAGATCTTCTAAGGAGTTAATAACTTCTGCCTGGCATTCTATCAAACGTGCTGTGTGATTGACCAAAGCTTGCATGTTGACTGCAGCATAGTCAGTGATAGCCCATAAGTTATATTCTGGAAGACAAAGTTCTTTTGCTTTCCGTACATTGTTATAAGCTGGATGTAAATTACAGCCTTTTCTTAGAGCATTGTTCCTTAGGGGCTGATAATCTGACTTGCTCATATTATTATTTAAGATGAGTGCTAAGACTTTATTGGGAGCATTTTGAGCATGTTCATTTGAATTTTTGATAAATTTTTAACAACACTAGCATCTTTTCTTCTTCCTTGTTTCCAAAGTTTGCAACTGCTAGCAAACAACAGCTCATTTGAAGAACTTGTTAATGATTCAAGTTCTGCCACTTTCCGCTTCTTAGATTTGTCAGATGATTCCTCAAATGATTTACCAGGCCAATAGATAATTTAGGTGTAGTTTTTGTATTGCATAAAGAAAAAGGTTGTTGGGGAATAATAAAGTCTTTGCAAATTCAGGCTAAATTTTTCTCCGTAAATTTATCATTGTATCGTCCATTTGTAGCCCATTGTTTACTATATTCAAAGCTAAATTTTGAAAATTTTACTTTAAATTCAGTATTTCCAAGTTGTTCGCTAATAAAATTAAAAACTACCGGTTTATCTTTTTCATTAAATATTGATAATTTGTTTTCTCTTATAATTAAATGGATTTGATTTCTGTTAATGTTTGACATACTAACAATAGTCTGAAGTAAAAAATAAAACAATTTATCAACATAATTCAGATAGGTTTATAATTATTCATGTTGAAATATTTTATTATAGTTATTAAAATGTTAACTATAATTAGTCTAATTTTTGTATCAAAATATTCATTAACTTATTGTACTATTTTGCCTCGATGTTATATTTATATACAATATTTTTGCAAAAAAAAAAAAAAAGTAGTAGCAGTTAAAATAAAAATATTTTAAAAATATGTATATATAAATATTTTTAAAATATATATATAAATAGTTTTGAAAAATATATATAATATACAACAGGATATTACAAGACCTACTACTTTTTGTATTTTTTAAACCAAAAATTATACTTTGAATTTTTTTTGAATAAAGTTTTTGAATAAATTTTTTTTGAATAAAGTATTCAAAATTATATTAAGTTATCTGTTTGCTTACCTATTTTATTCTAACAACTTTTAAAATGCAAAAAATAGATAGTTCAAAAATATAACAGTTTTAAATGTGCAATATTTGATAAAATGTTAAATTATAATTATAGATTTTGTAAACAAATTTTTTTATCTATTTTTTCATTATTAAAATTTTTATATCGCCACACTTTAACCATCATGTTTATCTACTCATTCATATTCTAACTGTATGTAAACTATAAAATATCGATATTTAATATATTAATAATACTTTTAACCAAGTTTAACTTAAAAAATCAGTTTTTTTTAACTTTTGTCCAGTCACTGGCCCACTGTACATTGTAAAGAAACAACATTAGTATCTCTTGATAAATTTATTCAAAATATACCAAGAGAAGTTATCGAGTTAAGATTTTAGAAAGATAGGCCTGCAAGACAGTTTAAGATTTATTATTGCAGGCGCTCAAGCGCACTATAAAAGGTATGAAATTGACATTGAATGGAACTACAGAGCAATTAATCACGGTAAAAGAACTATAGATGGTTTAAAAGTGTTGTTTCTAATTAGGTTCTAAAGAGAAAAGCTGTTATCAACAATGCTGAAGATTTTATCACATTTCTAATACCAAATTATCAAATTTCATTAATTTTATCTGAACATATTCATCAAAGGAGCAATGAATTAAATCTACAAGAGGTAGATATCAAATAAAGTGAAAGAAATTTTTTTTTCATTATCATCATCTTCAACTTTTAATGACTTTATTATTGATGATTGCATACAAAAAGCTATTACTCTGAACCTGAATCTACTTCCTGCATACATACTTCCTGCATACATACTTCCTGCATACATACTTCCTGCATACATACTTCCTGCATACATACTTCCTGCATACATACTTCCTGCTTACATACTTCCTGCATACATACTTCCTGCATACATACTTCCTGCATACATACTTCCTGCATACATACTTCCTGCATACATACTTCCTGCGTACATACTTCCTGCATACATACTTTCTGCATACATACTTCCTGCATACATACTTCCTGCATACATACTTCCTGCATACATACTTCCTGCATACATACTTTCTGCATACATACTTCCTGCATACATACTTCCTGCATACATACTTCCTGCATACATACACTATTATTCTGAATCTGAAACAACATTTTATCTCATAGAATAAATAAATTTTTGATTTTATAACTTAATATCAATCTTTTAGAATAAATAACAGATGAAATAATAAATAAGTTATTATATAGATTATTGTCTGAATACGTATTTTATTTAAATTTCTGTTTATTTGATTGCTAATAAGATATTAACAATCTTGTTAATGTCCTGTGAGTAACATTTATTTTTTCATATGTAACAACAACTAATTGATACATATATAACAATTCTTCATATTCTTCATATGTAACAACAACTAATTGATACATATGTAACAACAACTAATTGATACATATGTAACAACAACTAAGTGATACATATGTAACAAACACTAATTGATACAAATGTAACAATCACTAATTGATACATATGATATACAAGTAAAACAAGATTTTGAACAATTTCATGCAGAATGATAACTACTTGAGAAGTTAGTTTATGTTAAATATTATTAATTAAAAGAACAATATATAGTGAAATAACTACATGATTTTGAGATGATTCATACTTATATCCAATCTTTTTTTAATAAAAATATATGAAAATGCAACATTAACAAAATTGAAATATCTTGTAAGTAATGGTGGAATTGCCCATACATATTTATATATACTTTTTGAAATATCACATAAAATTATTAAAGATATTCAACATATAAACAAATTAATTATTCAAATTATTTTTAACAACAACTTTTTGTAAATTAAGAAAGTTATACAAATTATTAGCAAAAGAAATAAAAAAAATACTGTTTGGGCTTTTGAAACTGCAGATGCTGCACTGTCAGTTTGACAACGCAATGTTTCCATTCCGCTACCTGGTTTGTGAACTGCTACATGACGAGTGAGTGCACCACTCTTTGGACCAACTAAAAAATTTAAAAAATTTTAAAATTTAAAAGATAAATTTATATACACATAACCTTATTTAAACATATAGAAAAAAAAAATGACTTACATAACTCATCTCTATCAAGAGCAGATGGAGTAGATCCAAATAAAGTTTCAAAAAACCCTCGAGGCTTAGGTTGAGGAAGTTGACACAATGTAAACAAACAACCTTGGTCATCAGAAAAACTTTCCCTTTAATTATAAAATAATTTATAAAAATAACAATTTAATTATAAAATAATTTATGATATAACATTTCCTAAGAATGAATATAAATAAAAAAAGAAAAAAACTAAAATTTATTTTTTAAAATCAATTGGCATCTAAAACAAAAGTTTTTGATGCATGCAACACAATGTCCTGTTGTGATGATGTCCTCTGCATCAACAGATTGTTGTTGCAAAATTATTAAAAATCAAATTTAGAATCATTCATCATGTTTACAGAATTATTAAAAAATTTGCTGATATTATCATAAATATACTACATAATGATATTATCATAATTACATAATGAATTCAGAAGTATGTAATGATTATTGCATACTTTTAAAAACAGGTATGTACTCAAAAAAACAAATATTGAATACTTTTAAAAACAGGTATGTACTCAATACTATCAAAAACAAATATTTACCTATTCCTGGAACTTTCTATTGGCAATGAGACCTTAAACACACACACACACACACACACACACACACACACACACACACACACACACACAAAATTGCAAATTTCAGACCTGAGGTGGCCCCCCTAAATCTAGTTTAGTTTAGAAAAAATTCAACAGAGCTACATGTGAGTACTAATAGAAAGTTTAAAAATAGGTTCATATCTGTTTTTGAAAGTATGGGTTATTTGATGCACCCTAAAATTCATTACATAATGCTAAAATTATTATGTAGCATATTTATGATAATATGAGTATATTTGTTAACAATTCTGGCTGGGGAATTAAAAGATTTAAATTTTATTAAATATATAATTAATTCTGATTAGATAATATAATCTGATTGGAAAATTTAATTACAATGAAATATATAACTAATTCTGATCAGATAATATATCTGATTGGTCAATTTAATGAAATAAAGATTTAAACTTTATTAACTATATAATTAATTTAATAAATTAATTATATTAAATTAATTTATTATCTTAACTTTTTTAAATATAATTTTTTACAATAAAACTTTATATACAAGACTTTATATAATAATAAAATTATATTATATTAATTTTTAAAATTATAATTTTATATAAAACATATTTAATAAAAATATATATATAAATTTATATAGAGTAAAAGTACCGCAAACCGGACACTCTTCACAAAAAGCTGAATAACTTTTTCAATATTGAGAATTTGTAGGATTTTTTTTCTGGAATATATTTTATTATTAAAGTAATTTTGTAGTGTAAAAAAAAAAAAAAAAAAATTTATTTCAAGTTTCTATGGAAAATAAGATTTTATTTTTTTAAAAAGTGACCGCTTTTGGAAAATTGTCCCTAAAAGCGGACAGTTCCAAATTAAAAAAAACTATAGATAATTTGATAAATTCAATATTTTTATTTTTTATAACATATACACATAATAATAATACAAGCAGAAAAAACTAGAAAAAAATAAATAAAAAAACATAAGCAAGCTGAAGCTTAAAAAAAAAAAAATTTATAAATTAGGTTCTGCAACTTTTTGTGCAAAAGAATTCTTCGCCTTTTATATATCTTTTGGGAGACAAGGTTCACAAAGCCACGAACTGCAACTAGATTTTTCACAAGTTTTCCATAAAGCTTGCATCTCTGGCGTTTCATTTTCAAAAACTTTTGGGCACTTTTTGCATTTTTTGTACTTTTTTTTGGCTTTCTTGGCAGGAGTTTCTACATCTGCTGTTGCAATTTAAACATATGTTCGTTTTAACAGCTTTGCGCCTTCTTCTTCTCTTAACTTATTTAACCATGCTTTTTCTGTAAAAGCTTGACCAGCCACTGTTCTTACATTTTTTTTTTTTTTTTGCAGGATGCTTGTAAGCCTTTTGGAATTGAAATTGCTTCAAGAGAGCTCTTTCAAGAATAATTTTTACATGAGTTGCCAGTTCTTGAAAAGTTAAATTTAAAGTTGAAATTAAAGTTGGAGTTGCAGGCGGAATTAAGGTCTGTGCTTGTTGAGCAGTTTGAGGCAAAGAACTTGGGCTGCGTGGTGATTTTATAACTGCTGATGATGTTATATCACGCCAAACATCTTTAACATGGTAAAATACACCAACATCTAAAGGCTGCAGAATGTGAGATGAATGGGCGGGAATGCAAATTAGTGTTATATTGTTTTCTTTACACTTTAAGGCTTCATTTAATGACACATGTGTGCTGTGGCCATCCAAAAGAAAAATATGTTGACCACCAATTTTTTAAATGCGAGGAATAAACATTTCATCGAGCTACTGCAAAAATTGTTGACTTTCCATCCAACCAGATGGTGATGTTGTGTAAAGTGTATTTGGTGGACCTCCTTTAATCTAATCATCATAGAATCGATTCTTTGATTTGTAAACAACAAAAGGCGGTAGAAGGAATCCGTCAGCATTAACACAATTGAGAACAGTATAGTTTCTTTTTTCATTATTTCCAGTCAATACTAGTGGACGCTTTGCACCTCTTCTGATAATTACTTTCGCATCTCATTTGTCACCATTAAAACTAGTTTCATCACAATTCCACAAATGCATGGCTTTACCAAAACCTTTTTTTGCTAAATCAAAATGTTTTTTCAAAACATCAAAACAACGGGCAATAATTTCTGGTGTCCATGACCCTGCTCTCAAGGATGCAATGTTTGTAGCTGTTCTTTCGCTTAGTTCTGAGTGCCATCGACTCATAAACTCTTTGTAATATTTGCAACCAGGCATTTTATTTTTGAACAAACACGTTTCATCATTTTCAATTAAATAGTCTCTCAATAAACTTTGAACTTGATCTATTCGTCTACCAAAGACCCAATCACCAAGCATCTGAAGAAGGTGAACTATGGTTAACTCGATAAAAGGGCTCAATTTTCTTGTATTGCCACTACCAACTACTTAAGTTTTATTTAATTTTCGGTCGGATAAAGTTAATTTTGCATATGCGGTTGAACTGAGTTGAGTATGCGGTAGAACTGAGCTGCGCCCCTTAAGCTAAACTCGCCATTTTTAATCTTATTTAATGCATTTTTAATTGACTCCTCAGTGTAAGGCTTCTCATTTATTTTATTTTTTGCCATTATAAGGTTAGTAAATTCAATTCAGTTACAGATTTTTGAAATTGAAGGAACGAAGTACTTTTGTGGTTACTTTTTGTACTTTTGCATTTTAACTTTAATATAAGTGCAAAAGTACAAAACTAATTAACATGAAAGTGTGAAAACTTAAAATCCCAAATAAAAAAGTCAGTCAGTGTGAAAAAATTATAAAATAAATTAACTTTAACATAATAAAAAAAAATTCAATTACAGTAAAAAAATAATAAACAGATTAAGCTATGAACTTTTAATTGATTATAGGGTAAAATTATTGTGTCCGGTTTAAGGTGAAAACTGAAGAAAATTTTTTTTCCGTCATAACTTTTTAACGGAGTAAGATTACGAAAATCTAAAACTATTTTTGAAATTAATAGAAAATTTCCAACAAAATAGCTTCCTTTGTTTTTAAATTGCCTTTTTAAATCTTTCATGCTAAGAACCTGATTTCCAAAAAAAAGTTAGATTTTTAGGGTTAGGTTTTGTTTGAACTTAAATATCTTATTAAAGCAATCATAAAAATATCTTTTTTTAAAAAATTTATAATTTTCCACACAGTAAAAATTAAAAACTTTTTCAAATTTTTCAAATATTTTTATTTTTAGTGAAGATATATTTTTTTTTTTGATAAGCGTCTGCTTTTACGCACTGTCCGGTTTGTGTTACTTTTACTCTATAATATAACATATAAAATTTTATAAAATTATCATTTATTTATTACGCATAAATTGTTATTTATATAGACAATTTAATGCGCATATAAATAACATGTAAATAAATGGGTAATAAGGTTTGCTGTTTGACATGACGGTTCGCTGTGTGACATTAAAGAAAAACTTACTCTTTATGTTTTGTGAAAACTATCCTCTGAATTTCTGTTGGTGATGACAAAAATATCGCTTCTCCACTTTTACCGAATGTGAATGTTTTAATCATCCTTCAAAATTGTAAAAATTTTAAAATGAACACTATAACAACAAAATTACACTTTAGAAACTTAAAAAGTTTTTAAAGAATAACAAACCTGTAATCTGCTAATGATATGCCACACTGTAAGTCTAACAGTGGATGTAAACTTGGCAAACTAAAAATTTTTAGGAAGCCATCTGTAGTCAAACAACCCAAACAGTTTCCACCTTTAAAAAAAATGAAATTTTTATGCAAAATTAAAACTAAAAAATATTTTTAAACTCTTTTTAGCTTTAATAAAAATTAAAATGGTTAACCTTCAACAGGCATCGAGTCTGCTTTTACTATAAAAGCATCAGCACCAACAGGGTCCACAGATGCATGTGTTTTAAACCATGGAAGAATTAATACTTTAATAGACTTTTCCGTAGTAATACAAATGTATTGCTTTTCACTTGATTCTGTACTAGCTAAACTGCAGGTAGAGGAGTGTTGTTCAAAAGGCGATCTTATAATATTTCCATAAGAGTCTAAATGTGTTAAATCTAACACACAATGTCGATGATCAGTATGAGTATCTAAATATTGTGTTAGATGTATGTAATAATCTGATATTGCTACAAACAAAAACAATAATACTTATACCTATATAAAATTAATATAATAAGAATTATTATAATAATTATTGAAAAAATAAATTATATAAAAATAGTTCTTAAGTGTTTTTTTAGAAATATATATGTTTTGTTCTAAAAAAAAATTATTGATAGCAACAGCTACCAACAATAAATATTCACCAGCAAAGATAGTAGCTGTTTTACCATTTACAAAAATTGATTTCATAAAACTAAGTGATGCAACAAACTATCTAAGTGATGCAACAAGCTATAAAAGTGTTGCAACAGCTATCAAACCTCGATAGGTGTTGCAACAATGAAGTGACTTCAAAAATGTTCTTTAAGTTCTTATTGAAACTAAAGTGAAGTTCTTTATAAAACAACTTTATATAAAAAAAAATTATAAAACTTCAAAAGAAAAAGAATTCTCATTATAATTGACAAGACTTCTAATGAACAGTTTAAACAACAAACTAGAAAGTCTGAGTACTAGTGTTCAGACTTTTTATGATTTTTATAAAGATATAAAAAATGAGGAAAGTTCAAAACTTTAAAATAATTATTATAAATCAACCATGAATAAATATTTTTTATTAAATGTTGTTTGTTTAAGTTAAAAAACCATTTTAAAATCCTAAAAAAAAAGTTCAAGTTACATACATCAGGAAACAGACTAGTTGAATGTACATACATCAGGAAACAGAATAATGGTAATGTACATACATCAGGAAACAGACTAGTGGCAATGTGCATACATCAGGAAACAGACAAGTGGCAAAAATATAAGTAGGTACATTTTACCTACTTTTGCAATAAAGTTTTATACTATGTTTTAAAGTTTTATGTTATGTTTTTTTATTTTTTATGTTTTTTAAAGATCGACTAATTGTATCAATTAATTTTATTTTCATTTTTTTACTAAAATTATCTTTTTTAAAAAAATGTTACAAACAAGCTAAAGTTGCTAGATAAGCAAATCAAATGAATCTTAGTTAAAAAGCTATTTATGCAATTTTCAATAAAGTTTTAATGCCCGTCATGCACTATTTATTTTAGTTTAAAATTGATAGTAATTCATAGAAAAAGGGGTATTGTTGGTGTCCACACTAGTTATTATTAAATTGTTTAATTATTCCCCTCCGTTGGATGGGAAGGGGTTACTTTAACCAAAGGCAATTTAATAAGGATAAAGGTGGGCAGGGAAAATATTTAACTACATCTACAAATAGGAATTAACTTTTTTTTGTATATAACTATATATATTTTTATTGATCTTTTTTCTTAAAAATGGGTTGTAAATACAAATTTTTGTTAAAAAACACAAACTGTTTTTTTAATTTATTAATAAGGTATGTTTATAAGCAATCTTTGTAGAAAAGTTATATATTTTGTTTCTTTTTGTTAACAATTTATATTTTAAAAACTGTAAATAAATTGCGTTGGAAAGATATATTTTTAACTTATATATATTATATTAACTTTCATTATATATATCAGGGGCGTGAAGTCGTAAAAAAAAAGTAACAACTCCGACTTTGACTCCGACTCCAACTCCAAAGCAAAATATTTTAAAAATTCTTTGAATTATTTTAAAAATATTGCACGATAAGTTGAAAAATTTTTTTTTTTGACAAATTTATGCAACGTTCTTTGAGGTTTAGTATGAACATAAGGTTAACTGAATGTTTTGTACATACACGTGCAATACCAAGAAATATTACTTTCGGAGTTGGAGTCGCGATATTTTTTAGCAACTCTGACTCCACAGCCCTGATATATATATATATATATATATATATATATATATATATATATATATATATATATATATATATATATATATACACATATATATATATATATATATATATATATATACACATATATATATATATATATATATATATATATATATATATATATATATATATATATATATATATATATATATATATATATATATATATACACACAAATATATATATATATATATATATATATATACACAAATATATATATATATATATATATATATATATATATATATATATATATATATATATATATATATATATATATATATATATATATATATATATATAAATATACAAATCTTTCTTGAAAACCATATATCAAATCTGTTGCAAAATTAGCATCTGCTATGAGCTCGACACTTTCTTTTCTGCAACGAGCTCGACACTTTCTTACTCCAGATTCTATTCTCTATCTCTAAAAATCTCAAATCTGGCCTTGTATGGAATACTGTTGCCATATCTGGGGTGGATCTTCTAATGATGCCCTTACTCTTTTAGACGAGGTGCAAAAATACATTAGAAACATAGTTGAACCTGCTCTTGCAGTCAACCTCTAACTATTATCACATCAACGCAATGTTGCTTCTCTTTCTTTTTTCTACAAATATTATATTAGAGCAGCGCCCAATATAGATATTGGGCTCTGCTCTAATGAGCTAACTTCTTTTGTGCAATCTACTAAAATTCATTCTCATGTTACTCGTCAATCAATTAAGTCTCATCCTTTTTCTGTGACTGTTCCTAAGTGCTCCAAAAACTCTTATTTATCTAGTTTTTTTCCTTAAACATCAGTTCTTTGGAATTCGCTTCCTTCATCTTGCTTCCTGATTCATATAACTTGCAATCTTTTAAGTCGTCTGTCAATCGTTATCTTGCTCTACAATCATCATTTTTTCTCTTCCAGTTACTTTCAACTCTAATTAGTGGTTGCTTGCAGCCTTGTTGGGAGCGAAGGTGTTAAAAAAATAAAAAATAAAAAGTATATATATATATATATATATATATATATATATATATATATATATATATATATATATATACATAATTTATACATTTCATATTTATTTAAAATAAAGCAAAGTAGTTAAATTATTAAAATAAGTTTTAATATCTAAAAAGCAAATTTGGAGGTTTAAAAAACAAAATAAAAAAAAAAATTTCATGTTAATTCACCCCCTTTCCCAAAGCCCAGAAGGTCACTACATACAAGGAGGCTACTTAATTGTCGTTATAACCCTCTCTCAACTCTATAACTTCGAAATACAAACTTTGACGAACAAGACTCATTAGTTTACTTTGTCTACTGTTAAAATATGGTTTTAATTTAGTAAATTTTATCTTCTGGTCAAACTATAAAGTTTGTTTGTACAGTTAATTATTACATTTTTGAAATTTTGTGTTAATCATCTTTGCAATAAATGCCTTTTCTTTCAGATTTTGACTATATTTAACAATGCTATAGAAAAAACAACAGCAACATGATTTGAGGTGTTTATATGTGATGAAAGAAATACACAGAAATTTAATTTCAGGTTTTACATCAGTAAGTGCTAGAAGTTTCAAAAAAATTCTAAAATAGCTTTAAAATAAGGGCAAAAAATCTTAGATGTGAAAATGTCTGGAAGATCATTATAGTAAATTAAAAAGAGCATAGAGCCAAAAATAGAACCTTGAGGAACCCCTGAAGTTACAGGATATGAAAAAGAGTGCTGTCCATTGAGGACAACTTAAAAACTATAATCAGGAAGGATTCAATAATCTCAAATATGTTACCTGATACACTGTAAGAAACACTGTATGCTTATGGAGAAGACCAGCATGCCAAACTATCAAAAGCTTTAGAAATGTCAAGAAAGACAAGAAAAACAAGAAAGACAAGAAAAAAAAAAAACAAACAAGAAAGACAAAAAAAACAAGAAAGACAAGAAAAACAAACAACAATAACAATTATAATAGTAATTATAATAACAATAATAATCGAAATTATAACTTGTTTTCATAAACACAATATCTAAATATACATATGAGTTAGTTACAAACAGTTGACTGAAAAAACGTAACAACGATCAAGGACATTATACAGTTATTTAAATTAAAAATAATAAAATAGGAATAATAATAGTAAAGTTCTGCTCTTCTGACACTAATGGCTACTGGGATAACAGCCAGTTTTTTCATTGCTTTTAGAAGCGCCTCATTGTCAGGTCAGGTTTTCCTGCTACTGGTAACATGTAACCCAGTACAACCTGCTCCATGTCCTGCTGCCTTGTAGGATACGCTTTTTTAGGCAAAGGCTAGGAGAAGTTAACTCTGAATTAAAACACCCCCTGCCTTGGGGCTCTTGGTTGAGTAAAGGCTAGAGATGGTGTCTCAATAAAAATACTCATCTTGGGCAGATGTTAAATACATCCGGCTACTGTCTTGTAGAAGGCCTCCTAGGCAAAGAATTAAGGGGTAGACAGATTTTATCTGTTGACCAGTCTCGCACCCCTTCTTCATCTATTAGGCTGGCGCAGATGTATTTTTAATACATTGTTTCCAGTTTAGGATGTTGAACGCTGGATCTTCTTGACTCAATGCGTGGGTATTGCTTGTGTCTCTATTTTTATGACTGGGCAACTCATTCTATTATCTCCTAATGAGGGTACAGCTCTAAAACTCAGTTTTATGGTTCTGAGGCCGGCTGGTAGTCAGGTTTCCCGAACTCTGTGGTAGCTCTCAGAGAGGCTGATTCCATCAACAGCCGAAAAATATCAGAGTACTAACAGTGCCATGTTGCGCATGGATCGTGTCCCTGTTCGTACTTTTGGTGTGCATTGTAGAGGCCACATTTGGAGCCCTTAATATTAGATTTATTAATAGTAATGAGGCTATTGCTTAGTTGTTAAATAGTGTACTGAGTACTATCTATACTTGAGTCAAGTTCTTTATAAATTTAAAATGACTAAAGTACCTAAAACTAAAAAACACAAAAAACCATCGTCATCACCAAGTTCTCTAAACCTATCATTTACTAATATTCGTGGTCTTCGAAGTAACTTTTCTTCTGTTGAGTCTTATCTCTTGCAAAGTTCACCAGACCTACTTGCTCTTTGTGAGACTAATTTGAGTTCGGCTGTCCCATCTTGTGATCTTAGTGTTGATGGT